TAATTTGTAGTAGTTTATACTCGGCCTCATTAGTCACTCCATTTTGTGATCACGAGTGCTTATATTATATTAAGAGCTCCGAGTTTTAGTTTGATTCTAGGCTCCCGAAAATTTAGTACCAGTAGGTCCGTTTGGATACAACTAAGTACTCTATCTGTTCCGGTGTCTAGATGCGTAGCAAAAGAAATGAATCTTGAAAATGCCATAACGTCTTATAGTTTGGGACGGATGAAGTAAAATTTAGCGGCTACCAATAACTAAGGTGAATTCTTATAGTACGACCATGGAAATCCATGGTACAGGCTCATATGTGAGGGACTCGGACTCTGGGCCCGGACTCCACTCGGAATTCACAGATGGCGGCGGCGACTCGGAATTGCACCTCTGCCTCTCCGATATATAGAGGGTCAGTAAATAAATACGGGAAACATCTCCATTGGTTCGTCGCTCATCCTTCGCGGCGTCGTTGCAGCATAACAACTCTCCCGTCCATCTCCATCGAACAGCCCACCACGTCGAGCGCGCCCGCCTGATTACTTGATCGGATCTATGGACTCCAGCGACGCCGCCAGCACGCTTGATTACATGACCGGATCGATGGTCTCCACCAACGCTGCCGCGCCAGCCATCTCCCGGATCGCGCCAAGGCCGCCGCCGCGTGTATTTCAGCCGTCTCCGCCACCAGCGCCACCACTGGTGGACCTAGTAGGTTTTCAGATCAGGCCGGTCACAGCGGCGAACATGGAGTCGGAGATGGACGCCATCGCCTCCCTGCTCACGACGTACCCCATCATCACCATCGACGCAGAGTACGCGGTCGCCGTCCATCACCGCCCGTCCGCGGCGTCGCTCGCTCCGCGAGAGCGGTACGCGCTCGTCAAGTCCAACGTCGACGAGGTGCCCATCGTGCAGCTCGGGATCACGCTCTGCGACGAGCACGGCAACCTCCCTGTCCTCTTCCACGGCCACGGACGACGTCCGTTCGAGCTCGCGTGGGAGGTGACGTTCTCGGACTTCGACGCCCGCCGCGACCGCCACGCCGCGGAGTCCGTCGCGTTCCTGCCGTCACAGGGCATCGACTTGGACCAGGCGCGCGCAAGCGGCGTCAGCTCTGCGGCGTTGGCGGCCAAGCTCGCCGCCGTCCTGTCGGCGTCGGCGACGCCGCAGCGCGGCCAGCTCACTTGGGTGGCCTTTGGCGGCGCGTACGACTTCGCGTACATGGTGAAGATGCTCACGGGAGTGCAGGCGAAGGCTGTTCTCGGCGGCGGCTGAGTGTTCGACGCTAAGTATATGGCGGAGCACTGCGAGCGAGCGGACCTGTGCGGCGGCCTGAGGCGCGTCGCCGCTAGCCTTGGCGTGCGGCGGAACGTCCCGCGGTTGCCGTACCTTGCTGAAGAGCCAAACGGCATGCCTCATCTACACGGCGGCGATGAGGAAGGACCGTGACGGCTGCGCGGCTTGCGCCATGCTCGAAGGTCTCATTGATGGGCTGCAGTGGTGACATACATGTCCGGTGTATCACACCCTTAGAGCAACTCTAAGAGTATGGCTAAATTTGGATATGGAAATTGGCTATTTAAAATAATTTGGTCTCTCAAAATGACAAGGTTCCGCAACAGCTTGTCTATTGAACCTGCTGCCACGATCATTATGCTTGGATTAAACTCAAGCGACATGCACGGCACCTAGGCCCATCCTGGGCTCCTGGTCAATCAGCGCACGGGAATCGGCGCGAGCAAGGGTGATGGCAAACGGGGCCAACTAGCTATATTTAGCCACCGAGAAAGCCGGGATACATGGCTAGGTATTTTACAATCTCGAATAGAATATCTGATGGAGGCCATTTTATGTTGCAAATAGGCTAAACCGAACTCCATATTAGGAATAGCAACTGTCTTGGAGTTTCTCTTATAGGAGTATGATCTTTTGGAAGATTATCTTAGTGTTAAATTTCGGATCTATCTATAGTAATCTAACGGCCACTATCACTTTGATTTGATTTTTTTTAAATCTGGACCACTGCCACTTTGTTTTTTTATTAACACTTATATAAGTAGAAAACAAAAGGTCTAGATCAAATCTATCTTATCTTCACTTTATCTTCCTCCTTCGTCGAATGCATGCACCCCACACTCCTGGCGCCGACACTCACCCTCCCCGCCTACCTTCGTCGGCTCTTCTGCTGCCAGCCAACACGGCCCGACCCTAAATCTATCCGATGTACGTTCGTCTTGTCGTCTTCTTCATCTCCATCCAAGCTCCCCAACGCTCACCCCTACTGCCTCCCTGATTAGCTCAGACTTCTCCGCCGCCAACCAACACGGCCCGACACTAACTCCATCGGATATGTGTTTGTCTTGTTGTCATCTTCATCTCCAACCAAGCTCCCCTGATGCTCAGCCCCCACCCCCCTCGTCGCCGCCACCTCCCTTCCCGGCTCCAATGGCTCCTTCACCGCCAACCACCATGGCCCGACCCTAAATCCATCGGATATATGTCCGTCTTGCCGTGTTCTTCATCTCCATCCAAACTCCCTTGCCCCCACTGCCTTTCCGCCTCTATCCTTGGCGTGGTGCTACAGAACATCATGGAAACACCGCACCTTGCTGATCAGAAGAGCCATACTGCCTATCGCATCTTGTACCATGACGGTGGCACATGCCTTGAATGGCTCATCGATAGTCTACAAATGGTAAGTTATATAAACAATAAAGCAAATATGTCCAGTGTATCAGAGTTGATTACATAGTAATGTAGGTGATTCTTTGGAGATACATGAAAGCAACATTATATAGTAGATTTTTGGAATTATGTCATTACCAAAGATGGGGTTCATTGGAACGTCAATGTCATCCCGCAGAGATGGATGTGAATTAAGGCTAAATTCACCGATGATGGCAAGATGGAAAAGCTCTTAAGCTTGGTTCAGTTCTTGCATGTGACATGTGTTGTAATCGCCTCATGTTTTTGGACGTAGCTGTTGTCCTTGTTAATAATGTAATGTGCAATCTTTTAGTTTCTAGCCATTAGAACTAAAGTTTTTTTTTGGAGTTAGGTTATGATACTTTTCGGTATATGTATTTTCATCCTTGGATGGAACTCAAGTTTTGTGAACAAATTCTTTATAGTGTGCGTGCTTGTGTGATTTATAGCCGTTGTCAAAGGCTATAAAGCTAAGAACCGACAATAGTTCTGGGCTGCTGTTGTTTAGTACACTTTCTCATGTCTATAACTTGGCATCACAAAATGTTTAGATATTACATCATAGACTTGTAAGTTTGAGTACCATTCCATCTAATGTTCGGATGTTCAGTGTTGTCGAATTCACACTTTTGAGGCGCTTGCGACGTGCAACCGTGCAGCCGCTCGCCCAAAAGAATGTCCACGGAGTAGTAGTGATCTCAAAATAGATTTTGACTGCGTCAAAAAATCGTTTATGTTGTAGTGAAAACTGCGTGACTCATCATTCCGTCAAAAAACCGTTTATGTTGTAGTGAAAACTGCGTGACTCATCACTTGCAGCTTGCAGGGCCTAGGCAAAAGAAACTTACAAGTCTTATGCTGTTTTTGTTGAATCGATTTCTAGTGGCAGTCATGTAATTATTTTCAGTGGCGGTCAAGGTATTTACTGTCATATGCGGCTCGAGATTCATTTCTAGGTGCGGTACTTTGCCATCCCTGGAAACCATCAATTTCTAAAACTTTTATTGTTGCCTACATATCTCGTCCAGACAGGACATCACGTCCAGACGCGGCTCCCACACCTACGCCAGTCCCGCATCCGCATCCCGCCTCACGCCCCGAGTCCTGCATCCCACCCCAGCACCCGCGTCCGTCGCAGGGACCCACGCCCCCGCGCCCAACCTGTGTGGTGGGAAACCAACGTGGATTGACCCACGGTTGTGCCCCAGCAGCAACGACGACCACCGCCACGCCCGTTACAACACCCGATCTGCTTTTGCAACCTACAAGTGAAATATTTGAAACATACGTCTAAAACAGATGAAATATTTGAAACATATAGTTGAAACACCATTGCAACATGTGTAACATTCCGATGTACTTTTGAAACATCCAGATGCAACACTTGCAACATACAAAAGAAGACAGATGAAACACTTGAGACATGCACCTAAAACACTTGCAACATACGTGTAAAGAAACAGATGAAACATTGGGGATAAACGTTTGCAACATACGTATACAACCATTGCAACATCTTGATCTAGTTTTGCAACATCCGCATTAAACAATTGAAACATACATCTGAAACAACTGAAACACTTGAAACATGGGCTTACTACATGTCTGAAAAACATCCAGAAACACTTGAAAAACAGTATCGCCGCGTGACCATGACCTACCTGGTGGGCAACTACGGTGGCGCAGGCCTCCCCTTCATGTCGACGGCGCGAGGTGGATGGGGGCGTAGGCACAGGCGCATGCCTCCCCTGCTTCCGCGATGGGTGAGGTGGATCGGCACGGCGTTGGATGGTGCGTGCTCGCACGCCCCCGCCATGCCCGCAGTCGGCCGAGGGAGAGGAGACGCTGTTGGATCTGGGGAGGACGCCGTTGGCCGATCCAAGGGTCAGCGGCTTGCTTGAGCCCGCCAACTAGATCCGGTGGAACGTGGGGGAGGGTCGCGACCACTATGGAGTAGGGGGAGGGGACTCCATGGAGGCCGCCGGACTTGAGGGAAGACGCACGTGGAGTAGGGGTGCCGCTGGATCCAAGGGGGGAGGGGAGGAGGGGAGGCTACCACTATGCACTGGAGGGGACGCCATGACGCTCACAACGGTGATTTTTTTTTGTGAAGAATGGAGACAACAGGGGACGGTTTGAGAGATTTTTTATTTCTTTTTGAGCAAACGAGAGCGACGGTGCGATTCATAGTTGGGCCATTCCGGACGATGGGACGTCTTACACACAGCATTATGGATACTACGTAGAAACAATGACACTCTAAATTAACAATAAATCGAAAGGAGCATGCATATTAACTAACTAGCACTGATGTTTGGAGCGGACGTAATCGTCATTGACGACGACTGAGTAAGCTGGAGGGACGTCATCCCTGACGTGGAAGCTGTGTACGAGAAGAGGCCCTCCGGCGAGGTCACCGGCACCGCGTAAGTCGGCACGGGCATCTTGGCAGGCAGCGGCGGCACGGGACCATTGGACTGGAGAGCGGCCATGGCTTCTCTGACGGACGGCCGCGCTCGTGGGTCAGGGTGCGCGCACCAGAGCCCGACGGCCACGACGCGCTCCACCTCCGCCGCGTTGTACTCGCCGTTCAGCCTCTCGTCGGCCGCCGCGAGGGCGGTTCCCCTGCCGTACAGGTCCCACGTCCACTCGACCAGCCGGAACACTTCGTTCGTCTGGCGGACGCCGCCGCCCAGCAGGCTCATCGGCCTCCTCCCGCAGGCAACCTCCAGCACGACAACGCCGAAGCTGTAGACGTCCGACTCGGCGCTGGCTTTGCCGGTGATCACGCTCTCGGGGTCGACGTACCCCGGCGTGCCCGAGACGGCGGTCATCGTCCGCATCCCGACGGCATGGTCGATGAACCTGGCGAGCCCGAAGTCGCCTAGCTTGGCGTTGAAGAACTCGTCCAGCATGATGTTGCTGGGCTTCACGTCGCGGTGCACCACGCATTGCTCCCACTCCTCGTGGAGGTAGAGTAGTGCGGACCCAAGCCCAAGGACAATCCTCATCCTCATCGGCCATGTCAGGAAGGTGCCGCCGTTGCCGTGGAGATGGACGTCGAGGCTGCGGTTGGGCACCAGCTCATAGACCAACAGGAGCTCGTCGCGGCCATGGCACCAGCCGACGAGCTGCACGAGGTTCCGGTGGCGGAGCCTGCTTATCACCCTGATCTCCGACTTGTACTCCTTCCTCCCCTGCGTGGAGGATCCTTTAGCGAATCGTTTGATGGCCAACGCGGCGAGGCCGCCGTTGTGATCACTGATCAGGTGTCCTCGGTACACGGAGCCGAAGCCACCTTGCCCAAGCTTCTCCTCCGGCGCGAAATTCTTCGTCGCAGCAACGAGCTCGTGGTAAGGGAAACGCCTTGGCCCCGTCCCCATTTCAATCTTCCTGATGGGCTCGTGGCCGTCGTCGTCGTCGTCGTCCGAGCTGCCTATGTCCTCTTCATCAAACTCCTTTGCTAGCTCCAGCTCCCTCGTCTTGCTCCGACGCCGTCGTCCCGCCTGGAAAACCGCCAAAGCAAAAAGAACCACGACGAACAGCGCTGCGCCGACGCTGGCCCAGGCTACAACTCCACCACGTCGAGAACCGGAGGTGCTAGGGGTCGGCGGCGGCAGCGGTATCGGTGTGGCCTTGGATTCCAAGGACGAGTTGAAGTACCAAGAATACAGCTGATGCAGCTCGACGGATGCGCCCGTCGAGGCAGAGAAGCCAACCGAGACGATCTCCGGCAAAGCGCTCTTGAGGTCAACCTTTTGGCTAAGGTTGTAAGACATGTTTCTCCCATCGCCCAGCCATAGCTTCAGCTCCAGGACGGTCGAGACGTTGTCGTACCTGACCTCGGCGGTCATGTTGCCGACGAGGCTGAAGCTCGGCAGCACCTCCGTGGCCACGGACCTGATGGAGTTGACGTCGATGCCGAGGTGGTCGTACGTGCTGTGTGGGTCGAGCGCGACGGTGTCGTTGAAGGTGTCGTACTCCACCGCCGCGAACCGGCCGTCGCCGGTGGCCACGGCGTCCGCGCTTTGGTTGGTGAGGCCCATGTTGTACGTTTCGGATTTGGATGGCAGGCTGGACGGGTAGCCGGCGAGGAAGAAGGCCATGCCGGCGCCCTTGTTGTTGAGGCCGCCGTACCTGCTCGGTGGGTCGATGACGAAGGAGAAGCGCGTGACGAAGCTGGCCACCTCGCCGGTGTCCCTGTCCCAGAGGCGCATCGGACCGGCGTACGACACGCGGCCCCTGCTGTCGTCGATGGCCTTGTCCCCGAACGCTGTCAGGTCGATCCACCCACGGTTGATGTAGGCTTCGCCTTCGATTCTCAAGTCACTGCTGTCATGTGTGCTGAAGGAGGTGTAGTTGAAGAACAAGGCGGTGACGGGAGCCACCGGGAGGTAGCAGACGACGGAGAACAAGATGAGGCCCACGGTCCAAGTGGTCGCCGACCTGGTGATCATGGAGAAGCTACCCGCCATCGCCGGATGCCAGTGCACAAGGGTTCCTAGCTAGATATATGAGAAACTTGAATTGGGTCAGCAAGTCTACTGGCACGCATTTGAAGAGGTAGGGTGGCATGTGCAATAACATGGATAGCTAGAATTTTTCACACTGTAAATTTTATGTACTAGTCCACCAACTCGTGCATGCTATCATATTAGATACTCCTCCATGTTTTTTTTTTTAAGGCACAACTTGATATGGCATGGTTTCCCAAATTAAGATTTCACTATCTATTTATTTTATTTTATTTAATTATTTATACATAAAATTGATGATAATCGGATTGTAGATTTAATTACAAATCTAACCATATCAAGTTTGTGTTATAATAATTAAAATTGTTAGTTAAATTATTGGTTCAATATTTTGAAGTTTAAATCTTCATATGCGTATGCGCCTTATAAAAGAGAATGGACGTAGTACCATCTTAGTGGACATGAGCATTAGTTACTATTTAATACCTCCAACTAATAAAAAAATACTTATGCATATACATATAGGTCTTGTTTGTGAGAGATACTTGGGCTGTTGTGCCCTCATAACTTGGTGAGGTGGACCTTTGGTGACCTACAAGTGAAGGATTTGGTGGTCTTCTAGGTGTTGACACGTGGAGCGGTGGCAACTCAATGTGTGTGTGTGTGTGTGTGTGGTGGTGGTGGGGTGGGGTGTGTGTGTGGGGTGGGGGGACACATTCCTTCATTGTTGGACACAACAGCATGGTGACTGGAAGAATCGTGAGGTGGTGGTAAGACTTGGTGACTCATGGCACTTGCCTACTACGGTTGGCAGTGGCCTTATATTAGTGGTAGTTCAACACCGTGACAGGAAGACACTTGATGACCATGAGCGTATCTAGGTGGAGCTTCGACATGGATTCGGAGTTGTGTTTTGGCAAGCAATATCACGGGATAAATCACCTCGTCTCTGAGAGTTTGCCCTCTCTTACTCTAACTCTTTACTTATTGTATTTATTGCTTTCGCTTTGTGCTATGCTTTGTGTGACTTTTGCCTCCCTAGACTTGCTATATATGGTAGTTGAAAGGATTGGCTCTATGTCAGACCCTTTTATAGGTTGTGGATAAGCTAGAAAAATCTAAAATACACATATTATTAGATTTAGTTTATGTTTTTTCTGGTAGTAGTTTTTATTAACTCCTAGGACTACGGTTCAAAATTAGGCACCCAGTTCACACTTCTCGGCGCTCACGGAACCTTAAAGACTTTTACGTGTTCACTCGCTCATGAATATACATGTGAGATTTATTAGAAACGATTAACGGACGAATGCCTACATAATGTACTTTCTTCGTAACAAATTATAAGATGTTTTGATATTTCTTGGTATATAGTTTTTCTTTCACAAGCGACACTAGGTATTTAATTCAGGATCTAACGGCGTTTTCTTTAAGTGATAGATGATGTGTCAATTGATAGCGAGGCTCCTATGGTGACTTCATCAATCTTGAAATTTGTTGGTCCAACTTAATTCTTTAGAGGTATTCTTAGAGGTAGGATGTACGTGTGTGTATGCAGAGGAGTGAGTGTACGCTCGTATATATAAATGTACATGTTTTTGTACTGGGTGTGAAAAAAATGTAAATAGTGAGATTTGTGGATAAAAGTGACCTCCGGAGCTGGAGGTGCTGTCCGACGCAGGGGAGGCGAGCCATGGAACGACGTAAGATGGATAGCCCTGTTTGTCAGCTGGAGACAGAGTACAATGAAAGAAAGGTGAAAGAATACGAGAAATAAAGGAAATGGTCGACCCTTGGCTCCAACCGCTAGGTGGCTTCCATGACGCTGGCGACTAGATAGAGGTATAGTGGCCTCCATTGTCAAATATGTTGACATTTACAACCTTGTCTAGAAAACGTTGATATCTATAAGACCAAATAAATATATTACCGATGCATGTTTGAAGCTTGATTTAATGAAACTATGTGGATATACTAGATATTGATCAATTTGCTTATAGATTAAGTCAAAGTTAGACCAGTTTGATTTAATACAAAAATAAAACGACATACAATTTGAATGTTAATTAAGAGAGTTATAACCTTCAAAAGTTACCAAACTGAGTTTATGATCTGGGTTGGATCCACTAGTACTAATAATCACTTAGTTGGCTAGCTAAGAGCATCTCAAGTGGTACTACTTAAATCAGACTACCTATTTATCATTTTACGTAGCCACCTATTTTCATTCTACTTAAATTTTGCTTTCAACTCCAGCAGTGCTACCTAAATCGTGGCTATCAAATTCAGTTTAGTAGCCAATGACATGTGGAGCCCACATGTCATCCTCTTCCTCTTGCCATCAACGAACTCGGCCATGGCGTCGCAGGGGAACGACGTGGTCGGGAGGAGCATCGCTGGAAGCAGCCGGCCACGTAGGAGACCGTCGCTGGAGAAGGAGCCCTAGCCGTCGTTGGAGAAGAAGACCCCGGCCGCTGGGAAAGAGGCAGCTGGCTAGGGAGGGGAAGGAGCAGCCGGCCGGGGAAGAAGCCAGCAGCGGATGGCCCAGGAAGAAGCCAGCGGCGTGCCGGCTGCAGACCTACCACCGGGGTTGGCGGCAGCGGGTGCGCCGGCGAGGAAGTCCGCGCCCCACCGGGGACTCGCGCGCCGCGCCGGGGCCAGCGAGCCACGCTGGCGGCCTGCAGGCGTGCGGACGGCAGCATGCGCGTGCGGGTTAGACGGGACTCAACGAATGAAACAGAGAGGCCGGTGGGGAAGAAAATAGGTAACCAAATCTGTTGGCCTAACAGACGTAGGTAGTGGGAGGAGTAATTTGTTGGGTCAACAAAAATAGGTAGTCAAGTAGATAGCCTGCTGGAGATGCTCTAATAGCTATAACTATTATCTTGCTAATTATTAGCGGTGGGCTGTTACCTTTAGCAGCTCCAAACATTCTAGTGGAACTAATAGTTAGTTGGTCTATTAGTAGGTCTATTTGAATCCACTGCTACTAATTTTAGCTGTTAACTATTAGCACTAGCTAGTGGATCCAAACAAGTACTTAGTTTAGGTGATGGGTTTCTTGTTTGGAATCTGCCCAAGTCCCCGACGACTTTACGTGTGTGTGCATGTATTTTTCTAGATTTATTTAAATATTTGATGATATTATTTTTTCAATGTTAGACCACAGTGGTGTGCCTATGGTGATTTCACCAATATCAAAATTATATTGATTTGTGAATCTCAAGATCTGCTAAACAAATTTTTCGTGCTGTGATTAAAACAAAATAGTATTGGGATGTTTCACTTTTGGCGTCTCTTTGCTTGGCCTCTGGGCCGTTTTCGGCCGGCACACGATAAGCTTGCATTGGTCTGTCATTCCCGTTCTTTTCACGAACAAAAGGGGGAAAAATTCTCTAGTTTTAATTTGCAACGGAGTTATTCTATTTTCAGGTATTATTAGAAGATTGATCGATAAATGTCTCCGTTGGGGTGAGCCGGTGAGCCAAGTGAGATCTTGGGATCCTTCGCCCCGGGCCTTGTTTTCGCAAAGGTACAACGTTCGAGTTGGCTAAAGCTGTATCGTATGTTCTCGTTCGCAGGAAGCGCGAAGATACCTAGAGGCACCAGCTAGCTAGCACACTTTATCTCAAAACCTGCAAAGCATGCTGGTGTTTTCAGGTTTCGCGTTACACAGCAAACGACAACTGCCATTTCGTCACGTTGCTCTGTCTCGGACTACTCGTGCACCCGACGTCGCTCTTCTTGCCAAGTTTCCTCACGGTGGTCGACTCGGGGCCTGTTTAGTTCACCCGCTGAATCGGCGCCGCCAAAATTCGACATACACTGTAGCTACTGTAGCGTTTTGTTTTTATTTGGTAATAATTGTCTGATCGTTGACTAATTAGACTCAAAACGTTCGTCTCGCAAAGTACAACTAAACTGTGTAATTAGTTTTTGATTTCGTCAACATTTAGTACTCCATACATGTACCGCAAATTTGATGTGACGGAAAATCTTCTTTTTGCATAGTGCCAAATTCTGGAATCCAATGAAACTAAACAAGGGCTCGTATGTAAGCACACCAGTGGTTCGCGTTGCTGTCATATATCTTAATTATGAGCGATGAGGGGGGACGTCAGTGTCGTACTGCCGGGTCGCCTTGGGAGTTGGGACGGCTGCATGGGTCCGTCCATGCAGGTCGGGCGTCCAGAAAATACAAGATCAGCGCCGGCTGCTGCATGCTTCGATGGCTTTGGTTCGTCCGGACAGCAGCCTGGGATCCTTGTGGTCGCTTTGATATATACTCCTCCCGATGACACTGATGACTGATCAAGCCAAGACGGTGACAAGCAGTGCCGGTCCGAAGATTTTAAGGGCTATCTGATGATCTCGTCGCAACGGCCCTCTTAATCATGTATAAAATCTTATAATATATATACGCTAATTTTACTTACAAAACGAAAGCAAATTCAATAACATATTTTTAATTTAACATGTCTAATAATTATCGAGGAACGATGTAGATTAAACAATATATTTGTAGATGTATGATAATTATCGAGGTATAATGTAGATTAAAAAAGTAATATATTTGTTTTCTTTTCTCACCCATGACAAATGGTAACATTCTAAAATTCTAACACTTAAATTAGAAGAAAAATATGACTATAAGGGTACAAAGTACTAGAAGTCTGGAATACTATACAAATAATTAATTTGGATTAAAAATAAAAAGAAAAAAAAATACCTTGAGCCTAAACAACTGATCGGGGATCGCAATTCATAAGAAGTCAAGAATCAAGATGTCGTCGTCGTGGAGCCCTGCTTGGTCGCCGTCCTCATGCGCCGTGTCCGTGTCTCCAGTAGTCTAGCTCGCCAGCTCCACGTGTGTAAGGCACACGCCGCGAACTCACGATCAAAGTGTGCTGTGTGCAGTGTGACTCCTCGCCTCCTCTCTACCCGAGGGCCGTGGGAAAGGAAACTAGGAAAGAAATGTTGATGTCTTTTTGGACCACCTAATCAGTTCTATGTCTCTCTTCTCATTAGTTTGCTAATACCTATGGACTATAGGACCTGGGGATTTATATACCTGGGCTTGGACCCCTCCTCCACTTAGGCCCTCGGCCGTCGCACCTTGTGCCCTGTCCCTAGGGCCGGCACTGGTGACAAGCTAGGGCCGTTGCTTGTCAAGCTCTCAGCAGACACCGTACCCTGTCTCTCTACCACATGGATGCAAAGTAAATCAATATATACATGGACAAATTCGCATAGGAGTATGCTCAGTTCTGGGGCTAGCTAGCTCTCAATTTTCCACCATCCAAAATCCCAATGTTACGTCAAAATCTGAGGCAGGGAACATCGCTTGAACATTATTTCAAAACAAGAATCTATCTCACATGGCGGAGTGGCGTACTACGATCTCGCAGATAGACGACGCCCCTTATCACTGTGCCAACACTGCACAAAGTACACACGCCATTCAGGGACCCAGAATCGAGACAACGTCTCTAATGTACGATTAGAGATGCGTGTACAAAGGACGTGTCTCCGATGAATTGTCACACATGGCCAGTGGACGGAAGGTGAATGTGATGAGACCTCATTATCACGTCTCTGCTAATGAGGACAACTATCAGAGATGTGTTCCACTATAACTTGTCTGTGATTTAAGAACCTTGGACACACACAAAAAAAATATCAATCTTGGTGAGTTGACGAGTCAAGTCCAAAGACTCTCCCGTAAAAAAAAAACCCGTCCCTCCCCGCTCTCTCTTCCGACACAGATGTGTTCACATCGGTGTGGCTATACGCATCACTGATGTGTTCACATCAGAGACAAAATACAAGTGACTTTTTTTTCCTGAGTTTCTGATGACCATCTAGAAGCGTCTCTAATCTGCGAGTCTAAGGTACTGAGTATTTCCTTTCCACTTTGTCCTTAACAATATCAAATACCCTTCTGAACCAAAACTTGTATTACTGTTTGTTTTGTGCTTGCTGATTGACAAAGCAGTTCTTAAGTATGAAGCAAGAAAGAAAAAGAAGAAATAAATGAATGAACAACTCTTAACTGAACTTGCATGTGTTGGGTACCCTGAAATTGGAGTCCTCAAATACGAGCCAATGAGCAGCACCTACGAGCCAGAGCATTGGTAACCATGCAGTTTTTGAATGTGATCTCAGTAGCAGATTATAAACTGGCATTCTTAGGCCATTTGATAATTAGTAGACTAAACTACTACCACAGTTTTGGTTGAGTACCCTGCAGGTTTTTAGGTAACAACAAAGGATTTCCAGCTTCAACTCCTTTTTTTTTCCCCAAAGATTGCATCAATTCAACACTAATACACAAAAGGTGACGTCCCTCTACAGGTTTAACATGCCAACAACAAGCTCTCAAAAGGAAGGAACATGACAATTGAAATGTTATTCGTAAGCAGTATATACAATTTATTTTGTTCATAGGAAGCATTTCCAATTATTAAGTGCGGTGTCATATTTTGTTTAGTGTGCGCTTAAGCCCTTTGTCCTAGTTGCGGTAGCAGCGTTTGCCTTTGCAAGGCATGGTTCAACAGTTGATGAAAATGGAAGTATGGAGATTATAGATGACGAAGAAGATTAAAGGTAGTGTATTGTATATTTGATAATATTTTCACTGAATCATTATCCTTTTTAAAAAAAATAAAAAGTTGAGTCATTTGTTTGCATTTTCATTTAGCCCATTGAATAGTAAGGATCTTATTAAAGACTTGAAGTCAAATGGTGTATTTTGTCTATTCTAGCACTCTTTTCTTAGTGCTACACCAAATAGTAACCAATATTATTAATGGGCTTCTTCATTATGGCAAATACTTTTTATCACTTCCTTATCCTCACACCCGCTCAATTTTACTCTAGCTTCACCACTGTCTAGTACTACCCATAAACATGGAGCAATATAGATTACTTAGGATTCATGACGTCCCTTGCATTTTCTGAGTTTAACATTTTATTATTAGGTTCTGAGTTTAGTTGAAGTTATGTTTTTGCAAAACATGATTGTACTTCTACATATGGGCTGGTTAAAACATTCAAACTTCCTTAAATTGGAGAGAGCTTTCATGTACGAACTTAAATTGGAGAGAACTTTCATGTACGAATTCAATTGCGGTCTAAATTTGACATAGATAATCTTCGAAACATGTTCTAGATTTAAGTGAATTATAATGCAAGTTGATTGCATCTACAAATTTACTCGTACACATAATAAACTCTGATACACAGGACGTGTATATCCAAATTCAACATTGCCGTTCATGGATGGCGCCGTACGAAAGGTTTAGGGCGCATCGCATCATGACCTCATCGTCGTGTAGATGCAACCTGCAGTATGACTCTTCCGACATATTTGTATGCTAAATGTAATCTTATTAATCAATCAACAAAAACAACTACATTGAATAATCGAACCTTTGTCTTGTTTCCCTCCAATTTCTCAAATCCAAAAATATAACAGGATATATTCCCATTAATTTGCTAAAACATCCCTATCAGTCTCACCGCATACTGCTGGTAATATATGGATTTCAATATGAGATGCCCGATATATAAATAGGCAAGGCCGAGTTCCATGTCCTTTGCATGAACCGGTAGTTTGAGGCATGCATTAGAAATGTTGTCGCATGCTCTTTCACATCACGGATGGCCGACTGACAACATGATACTTTTCTCTAAACTATCCCAAGTAATAATTCACAACATCCATGCCCATTGTTCATGCATATCACCATGTATGCACCAACAATTCCTTGTGATTTGTTGTTCACTGGGTTCCCATCATTAGTACTTTCCACCGCGGGACGTTCCGCCGCACGCCAAGGCTGGCGGCCGCACGCCAAGGCTGGCGGCCACACGCCTCAAGCAGCCGCACAGGTCCACTCGCTCACAATGCTCCGGCCATGTACTTGTCGTCGAACACTCGACTGGAGAGGAGAGCCTTTGGCGGCGCCATGAACTCCTGCCATGTCTCCGTGAGCATCTTCATTCACAGTATACGCGAGGTTGCACGCGCCGCTGAAGGCCGTGCTCCACGGCGTGCGCGGACGGACGGTGGGAGCTCTGCGTCGTTCGCGGCCAAGCTCACCGTCGTCCTATCGCCGACGCCGTGGCGCGACGAGCTCGATTGGGTGGCGTTTGGCGGCACGTACGACATCACGTACATGGTGAAGATACTCACAGGCGGACGGCCACTGCCGGAGACATGGCACGAGTTCATGGTGAAGGCAAAGGCTGATCGGCTGAGCCACAACCAGGCAAATCCTAGTAATTAGGGGCAATAGGTGTCAGAAACCTGATCGGCTGTTGGACCGGCCAATGGTCAAGAGATGAGGGCTGAACCGTACGTCTGGGGCCTACAGAAACAAGCAACGATACAAAGGGCAGCACCAACGGAGGTCATCATCGTCGAACGACCAGACGGCCATCCCGGCGGCGGTGAGCTTAGGCTCGAGGCAAGCTCTTGCTCGATTCTATCCCCTTTACCCCTTCTTCTCTTCCTCTAGTCCACCAAAGTACCCGAATACTTCTTGAACCTTCCAAAAACTAGTTTGCTTTGTTTGTATTTCTGTGGAGTGAATCAGTAATCTGGTATATAGTTTTTCTTTCATGAGTGCCATCAGGTATTTATTGTAGGATTTAACGATGTTTTTTCCCCAATGGTAGGCGACAATGTCTATCTGCAGCGAGGCACCTATGATGACTTCATCAATTTTGACATTTGCCGATCAACTCATTTTTTTTTGGAGGTGCTCGTAGGGAGAGATGATATATGCATGTGTCTATAGGATAAGTGTGCGCTCGTGTATATGAGTGTATGTGTTTGTACTATAGATCTCGAAAAAAATGTAAATAAAGGGATTGGTGGTTAAAAGCAACCTTTGGAGCTCGAGGTGCTGTCCAATGCAGGGGAGGCGAGCAATGGAACCACGTAGGATGGATAGCCCTCGCTACCGGAAAACTGTACTTTGCCGAGTGCCTGAGACTTTGCCGAGTGCTTTTTATCGGGGCACTTGGCAAAGCAATATTTTACCGAGTGCCGCACTCGGCAAAATAAAGCACTCGGCAAAGGTGGCTTTGCCGAGTGCCAGACACTCGATAAAACCTGGCTCTCGGCAAAACTGGGCTTTGCCGAGTGCCGCGGCACTCGGCAAAAGTCCCACTCGGCAAAAGGTGGCCGGCCCGTGACGGCGGCCACCCGCCGTCAGATTTTGCCGAGTGCCTAACGGCTGGCACTCGGCAATTTTTTTTTATTTTTAAAAACTTATTTTGCCGAGTGTCAGCCCCAGACACTCGGTAATTTTTTTTTTTTTTTTTAAAAACATATTTTGCCGAGTGCCAGCCCATCGCACTCGGCAAATTTTTTTTTATTTTTTAAAACTTATTTTGCCGAGAGCCAGACCCAGGCACTCGACAATTTTTTTTTTAAAAACATATTTTGCCGAGTGTATGCCTTGGGCACTCGGCAATTTTTTTAATTTTTAAAACTTATTTTGCCGAGTGCCAGCGCCAGACACTCGGCAATTTTTTTTATTATTCTTGAAAATCAACTTTGCCGAGTGCCCCCTGGGCCGGCACTCGGTAAAGCCCACTTTGCCGAGTGCCCCCTATGGCACTCGGCAAAATATTTTTTTTGATTTTGGGCCCAAATTTTTTTCTGGGGTCTTGTGACAGTATTTCAAACTCTATTTTAAAATTTGGGGCAATTTTGACTTTTTTTGATATATTTCATTAGTTTATTTCGTTTCGTCGAATTTTTCGGGATATTTCAAATTTGAACTGCAGGTACATGGAATAATGGACTTTGGTCATCCAAAAATTGATACTCATGATATTTAGGGTATGTTTAGGTCGTATCCAGGAACTCACATGAAATCTCGAGCATCTCGTTGACGTAACATGTCGAGGTACTTGCCGGAAATGTGATTTTAAATTATATAAAATGCAAACGAAGTCCGAAAATCACGAAACTTGTCGAGGCGTCGTGTTATCGCATGTGGAGGCTGTGGTAAAAAATTGAGAAGGTTTCGAGCAAGTTGTGACGTCGGATGCCAAAAACCCAGACATCTCCACATGTGATCAAATTTTTACCACAACTTGCTCGAAACCTTCCCAAGAACCCAAATGTCGCATGCCGGAGATGTCTGGGTTTTTGGCATCCGATGTCACAACTTACTCGAAACCTTCTCAATTTTTTACCACAGCCTCCACATGCGATAGCACGATGCCTCGACAAGTTTCGTAATTTTCGGACTTCGTTTGCATTTTATATAATTTAAAATCATATTTCCGGCAAGTACCTCGACATGTTATGTCAACGAGATGCTCGAGATTTCATGTGAGTTCCTGGATACGGCCTAAACATACCCTAAATATCATGAGTATCAATTTTTGGATGACCAAAGTCCATTATTCCATGTACCTGCAGTTCAAATTTGAAATATCCCGAAAAATTCGACGAAACGAAATAAACTAATGAAATATATCAAAAAAAGTCAAAATTGCCCCAAATTTTAAAATAGAGTTTGAAATACTGTCACAAGACCCCAGAAAAAAATTTGGGCCGAAAATGAAAAAAAAAATTGCTGAGTGCCATGGGGGGCACTCGACAAAGTGGGCTTTGCCGAGTGCCGGCCTAGGAGGCACTCGGCAAAGTTGAAATAAAAAAAAACTAGGCACTAAAAGCCCACCGGCCCAACCCCCGCGCGGCCCAACCCTAATTCACGCCCCCAGCCACCCGCCCGCTCCCCCGTGCCCACCCCAGCCGCCGCCGCGCCCACCCCCGCCGCTGCCGCGCCCTCGCCGGCGAATCGCCGCCGCCGGCGAGCCCCGCCCTCGCGCCCGTCGCCGGCCGCGCCGGCCGCGCCCCGCCCCCAGCCGCCAGCCGCACCCCGCCTCGGCAGCTCCCCGTGGCCCGGCCCCCCTCGCCTCGGCCGCCCAGAGGTGGCTGGCTGGTGCCGGCCGGCCATTTCCGGCAGCGGCGGCCGTGTCCCGGCCGTCCCTTCCCTGGCCGCGCCGCCCGTAGGAGCAGGGGAGGTAGGAGGAGCAGGGGAGGAGGGAGAGAAGGGAAGGGGAGAGCTGCAGCCAGCAGCAAGATGCCCAGCAGTGTGATTTGGCTACATGGCCTCACCCTCGCCATCTCGGTATTGGCAAGTGTTGTTTCGTCTTTGAAAATAAAGTTAGAGTAGCAATAGCTGATATATAGATAGAGTGATTACAGCAGTTTGTATGTCACTGTTATTGACTTAATATAGCACTAGTTCAGTGCACCTAGCCAAGCAAACAAACCTTGACTTCTTTCAAAAAAAAGGTCAAGACTAAATGCTTGCCTGCTCTGTGTTCATCTCTGGGATGACGGCGCCAATTTGCAGTTCCTACCTCACTATGGCTGTGGGAAAGGTTCTGTGATCTTTCTCAAGTTAGCTCCATATGAGTGGGTGGGGATTTCGATTAGATTTCTTGGTGTGATTAATTTTGAATGTTGATTGATTTGCATCAGAGGCTAGAGCAGATACTGCAGTTCTCATTACTACTGCAACTTTTGTCGATAAGATCTCCATGGGTTAGTCTCATGTTCTAGGTTGATGCCCTATGTGTGACATTGTCCTTTAAGTATTGTCTTGCCTGCAAAATATTGTGTTTACTAAATTGATATTGAGTTCACTGAACTTCTGGCCTCACTATTCTCTATTTTGCTGCAGGTTGACGGGAAGTGCTCTTTTAATTCCAATAACTGAGGTATGCATGAGTTTGAGCTTTAGCTCTGATAACCTAACTGTGCCAATTAATATATCCACCTTCCTCCTATTTCTCTTGTGGTATGATATCAAATATTGTCATAAATGTTTCTTTTAGGTGTTCCTGTGGATTATGCCATATTTGGAGCAATATGTGTCTATTGCCCGCGGTTTATGTATGCTCTTTGTATATAAACATGGTTTTGTTATAGATAGCTCTACTCATTGTTTGTGACTGTATTTCGTCGCATGATAACTCGCTCTTTCACCTGTGTTGGACCTCGCCATTTTTCCTGGACTAATAGCGCCACTGATTCTTGTCTTTGTAGTCCACTCAACAATTACTGTTCTTACGTACTTCTTTAGCTTATACCTCTTTCTGAACCTGCCTGTTCTTTACATTCATAGCACTGTTAATTTCTTACACCTTTACCTTTCTACAGGATCGTTTCCTGAACTGCTTCAGCTCCTCTTGGTTCTTCAGCAAGGATTATCCGCTGTGATCTGTTTTATACTGCTTCTGTTATCAACCACCATTTCTTCGTTGCGGTGCTATTTAGGTAACATTAACTGGCCTTATGTGCGTTCTTTATTTATGGCTTTAGGTAACAATGCCCTGCGTATTCAGACACTTGTTCATAGGCCTCTTGTGCCTTTTGGTTACGAGGAATTTTTTTATCGTTACTTGCCGTGATCTATTATTGCAAACCATTATTGATGTGGCACTACATCTAACGTGATGATCTCACCCTCTTCCCTTATGTTCCTTACTAAAAAATTATTTGGGGACAGATATCCTTTAGTCTTCATCATCCAAGTTTTAGAAACTACGGAGTCAGATACCTCTTCAAAGGCCTATTGCGCCTTTTTGTTACAAGAATTTTTTTTATTACTTGCAGAAACAAATGTTTGAAAATAGAATAAGCGTAATATGATAGTAATACATTCCCCCTTTTTGTGTTATGTGAGGTGGAGAGGCAATTGGAAAGATGATCTTAAATATACATGTTGACATATTGGATGGTGATTCTGTACTAAAATTGATGGCAGATAACTACTGATTACTATGACACTAACAAAAACAAAGCGTTCTAATTTCTTTGACATATTAGTTGAATGCTTTAAGCTGAAAAATGATTTAGGAAGCATAACCTCGCATTGACCATTATATCTTGTATTCTTGTCGCTTATCAGAAAATCCAAGTTTTAGTTTCTGCCTCAAATTTTGAAATGCACTCCTATTTTTGGTTTCTCAAATTGGATCATATCAGGGCCTGTAAGTATATCAATCTGAAATGAGAATAATTGCCTTTCACCATCTTATTGTACCTGTACTCTACAATGCGTCAGAAAAAAGAAGAGGAAATGGATGATTACTGCTCTCAGGTATTTACTATTTGAGGCGTAGCGACCTTCTCGTTCTCCATATCAGTAGTCTTAATCTGAAAGTAAGACTGGCGTGCTGTGTCAATTATGTTCCCCCAGGCAAAGGACTTAGGTATACATAATTATTACAGCAAAAAAAACTTCCGAGTATT